TATATAGGCAAAATACATGTTAAATTGGGCGGCAAAACTATTTGGTAACTCCTGAAATTATCGCAAAATAAACATAAAAAAAAAATCAAAAACCCCATATTAAACGTATTTTTCGACGAGGAATCCAATGGTAACCTCGAATTTGACCTTGAACATAACCTCTAAACTATAGCGAACCAAAATTGATTTTTCGCACGGTGACCCCCTTTTTTTATTTCAGATTTGAAAAGAGCGGAAAATTTCACGTTCAAATACATATTTCGTTTTTTTTTTCAAGGTAATTTTAAGGGCCCCACAGATCAAGAATAAACTCTTTGGCTGAGTTTAATATTAGTTTTAATGGAGCCTTCATTTTCAAACTGTGGGGCCCTTAAAATTACCTTGAAAAAAAAAACGAAATATGTATTTGAACGTGAAATTTTCCGCTCTTTTCAAATCTGAAATAAAAAAAGGGGGTCACCGTGCGAAAAATCAATTTTGGTTCGCTATAGTTTAGAGGTTATGTTCAAGGTCAAATTCGAGGTTACCATTGGATTCCTCGTCGAAAAATACGTTTAATATGGGGTTTTTGATTTTTTTTTTATGTTTATTTTGCGATAATTTCAGGAGTTACCAAATAGTTTTGCCGCCCAATTTAACATGTATTTTGCCTATATAAGGGCTAAAGTGCCGGATTTCGGGGGCCTCGTTTTCGGTTATAGAGGCAAATACCAAGATCCTTACCTACATGGCTTCAAACTACATGTAATCAACTACTTTCACATAAAATTTCAAAGAGATTCATGTTACTAGAAAAAAGTTACAGCTTATCGAAATCTCGAAAAAACGCCTTTTTTCATAATGTTGACACCTTTAAACAGCTCTATCTCCGTCGTTTTTGAACCAATCTTAATTCTGCGCACGGCAATTTAAAGGTAATAAAAATACCTTTAAAATGAGACGTTGCAAAAGTAAATACGTCAATCCAGTCGCCTTCTGCATCAATTCAAAAAAAGCTAAAAAACGTCAATTTTGCGATTTTTCATCCCCCTTCATTGCCCCCCCATAACCGGGGGTTGGTCTATCGAGCTCTACATAATTTTTTTACGAAAAGTACATGTCTTGACCTAAAAAATGCGACCCTCAGAGTTAAAAAATATGCACCGGTGCCCGAGTTACAAATATTTGAATAATACGCAAAAATAGGTAAAAACGGCTATTTTTGGACCTTCGAGGGGCCCAAATTTGGGCCCTAAGGCCCCTAGAGGGCTAAAAATTTACCTGAAGGCTATTTTCACATACCCAAATAACATACTAAATTTTGGGGCAGATCCGAGAACCCCCCGCACAAAAGTTGTACATATATGAAAAAACTGCTCATATATATATCACGATAAATATATTTGGTCTCGGGGGCGCGCGTGAGCGGCATATCATGTATATATACGACGCGATTGAAAGCTGCGGGCAAGAATAGACCCGATAATTGCGGAGTGTGTTTGCGTACGTATCGTCCGACGAGTATATCTATATCATCATCAATGAAAACCGTGGGATACGTACGTGCCCGCTCGCGTATCATCAGACTTCATTCAGCAATTATGGCTTAATGATTTTTTTTTTCTCTTCCCGACCCTTTTATTTATTTTTTTATTTTCATTTTTTTTTTTTTCATTCCATCGTTCCGTTGTTTGTTTACGGGTGCGCGCGGGTAATGCACGAACCACCTGCTGTACGCTCGCAACTAATAATTATTCCGTCTCTCTTTGCGAACGAAACGTGAATAATAAAAAAAGAAGAGCTCCACGTGTACACGATCCCCTTTTCAATGACATTCGAATACACGCGCGTAACGTTGCCTTACGCTGGAAAATCGTTTGATTGTGGCAAATCACATTTGCCGCCGCGAGTATGGTATCACGCGAAACCGAGAGAAAGAGAGAATGGAAAAAAAAGTAAAATAAAATAATAATAAAATAAAATAAACGAGTGAAATACTTTTGCCGTTTAATCACGTTTCCGTGTTACTCGTGTGCGCCGCGTGTCGTTTTATTGTAATGTTCCACCGAGCGCGCAATATCAATAGAAAGCGGCCATTTCATATTCGCCACCGTCGACGAGGGAAAATTTGCCCGAGTCTGATCCGTCGTAATGCCGCGCGGGAGCCAGCCTGGATACATATTTTCCCCGCAGGCTGCTTTTTTGCGCTTTTATACTCACTCGTATGCCCGAGAAGATGTAAAGGCCGTTTATAGAAAAAAAGCAGATGTTTTTACGTAAATTCGCCTTTGAGAAAAAGAGTAGACATCTTTCCATTGTGATCATTAGTTGAGGGAGCGAGAGAGTCAGAGCCATTTTGCAGTCTTTTTTTCCACTAATCTAATTATTTGTAAAATTTTCGAGATTATTAAATTCTAATTTTATAAATAATTTGTTATTATGATACTAATCATTCCTAAAATTACTAATTTTTATTTATTTTTACAGTTTTCATTCTTATCTTCTACTAACTCCATCTATATTTTTTTTAAATTCAAATATTTTTAAACAGTAATATAATTGTTGCATAGTTTTTGAATTAAAAATTTGCTGTGTTAAACGTTAATAGTGGACCCATTGCAAATTTTGAGATGTATTGTAAAAATATTATAGGATTTACACTTCAAGAATTGTTTTGTCTTGTAACAAGATTGATCATAAAGCTTCTTGATTCTATTCACAGATGGAGCATAGTAAATCTGCAAGTGGCAAAAAAATTTCCAATTAATATATATGATACTGCAATTTTTGTTCACTTGAAATATTCACTTTGAAATGTTTGATAATTTTTATGTGAACCCCGAAGGTTCCGTACTGTATCTGTGCTGAATTTGTAAAAAAAAACGAAAAAGAGTTAGCTTTTCTTTCGTCGCAATATAATAATTTGACGGACGATATTTGCCGACTAGTGACTCGATTAGGCCCAACAGGCCCGGGCTTGTTCGAAGTCGTAAAAAGTGGTGTAAGAGCTGCTTCAAAAAGGACAACATTAGAGGTTTTCGTGCACAAAGTCAGTTCTAGTATATACGCTGTGCGCGTAGCTCTCTTAGGTACAAAAAACTGTCATTTTTGCTCAAGACACGTAGTTGTGCGTGTCTCCGAGCTTTTTATTGGGGAAAAATTCGATTTATATCGTTGCGGTCGCAGCAGCAGCAACAACAACCATAATAAATAATAATAACAAAAAAAAATGAGAGAGAGAAAGAAAAAAAAATAAGAAAGACGGAAAACCGTAAATCATTTCGCTTCGTTCGACTTTAGTGGAATTGCGACGACGACGACGACGACGACAACGACGACGTAGAGCGACGACTCTGCGGAGGAAAAGAAAAAATAGCGCCGAGGATTGGCAAAATGAAGATGCCTTTTTTGTCGTTGGCCTCGCGCGCACTGCAAATGTACCGTATACGCTCGTATCTTATACAAAACCAAAAGCAAGGGACAACAGCGGCGGCAGCAGCAGCAGCAAAAAAATAGAAGCAGCTCCGCAAGCTCCTCTCGTTCGTTTTACTTAATTGCGTTGCGGCAGCAGGCCGTAATTTCGCCGTGCGTTAGCTATGTGTCTGTGTGTGTGTGTGTACCCGCGTATGCATTGTTACGTTTAATTATTTCATTTTAATTAATTACACCTAAGCCGCGTAGCTCGCGTAACGAATTCAGTCTGTTGGCAGGCCGCAAAGATATATATACGTATATATAAAATAGCTAAGGAGGAAAAAAGAGAGAGAGAGTAAGAGAGAGAAATCCGAAGTCGCCGCATGTTCGACGTTGGCCTCGTACACATTACAATATACACTTATAGAACTGCGCTTGTCTCTCGTAATACGGGGAGCTGCTGTGCGTTCGATAAATCGCGCCGACAAAAACAAACACTCGTCCGTCCCTTTATCGTCGTATCACCTCGCTCTGATCTAATACGTCGCTCAATTATTCATCAAATACGGGCGCGATAATAACACCTCGTCGACGTCCTCGTAGTCGTCGTGTATGCAAGCACATAAAGTAGCAGCAGCGAGTCAGTCTTGAAAAGTTTTCAGTTTGCAGTAGTAGTGCCGCTGCTACTGCTGCTGCTCGTGCTGTAAACGAGGAACGAAAAAAAGAAGGAGAAAAAAAAACACAGAGTGAAAGAGAGAGAGAGAGAAAAAGAAGCAAAATTTGGCGTCGAAAACTTTTCCATTGGGATAAATTTTGTCCAGGCTTGGGGGGAGGCGAGCGCAGTTGTTAGATTTATTATACCGCTTGAGTGTGTGCGCGCGGAGTAGTAGTACCAGCGAGAGAAAGAGAAAAGAGAGAGAGAAGTGCAGACGCGCGCTGACCTAGTTTCGTTAACGGCGCGCGCTCTACTACTCCACATATCCACCACTGGCTATCCACCACCGCTATATGTACGCGCTTATAATAAGATTTCCATCCTATTCCTGGTCTTTATACTCCCTTCGTTTCGGCTAGTTCTATACCTATCCTTTTTTTCTCTCTCTCTTCCTACGCTACACATCGTGTCGCATATTATCGCAAAAGTTCGTCTCTCTCTCTCTCGCTCTCTATGTGCGCGCCTAGTACGAGTGAAAATTCGCTGTACCTTATATATACACGGTACACGGTAGTGTATAGTTAGTTTTGAATTTCGGTTAATCTGGAAGATAGCTGCTCGAAACTTGTAACGCGCGCCCCGCCTTGTATGCGTTCGCGCACAAGTGGACCGTGTATATATATGCATACATAGAGAGAGACGAGCTTTCGACTTTTGTGTGTTCGTGTGCTTTTCATGTGCGCGCGTGCAGATATGTGCAGCGAAACGAAGCCCGAGTACTACTACTACTGCTACTTTTGGAAGTACTCCAATTCGCCATCGTCGTCGTCGTCGTCGTCGTCGTCGTCGTCGTCGTCTCGGCGCTGCACAGCTATTACAACGGATAATAGAAAATATTTTCCAAGCGTGTATAGTAGTTACAATTACAGCATATAGAAAAATAAAAGACACGATGAGATCGCAGGAGCGCGTACGCAAGGAGTCAGCCCTCTACGAGGTCGTCTGCCCGGCCGTGTACGTGAGCCGCGCCATGGGCTTGGCCCCGTACGAGCTCACGGCCCGGGGCCAGCTGGACGGCCAGGCGAGATTGGCGCCCTCGCGCCTCAACTGCCTGTACTCGCTGTTCTGGACGAGCCTCTACTCGTACATCGTCGTCACGTCGCTCATGAGGTTCGCCGGCTCGAAGCGCGACAAGCCCGTCCTCGGCGTCACCGAGACTGGAAAGGTATTATACAATATATTATATACGGGGAGAAACAGCGCGCGCGCGACGCATAGCGCACGGAATGATTAATCGAGGCGCGTCCTTGTGTGTGCAAGCTGTACACCTGCACTGTATGCGATCGCGGCGGCCCCCGCTAATTATGTATTCGTCGTCACGCGTGCCCAAGTCTACATACACACACAGTTACTATACACGGCATATGCATAAATTATTAAGGACTTTATCAAGTGTCCGCCGCACATGTACAGATACGATGTACGTATATACGACGCAATAAGCCCGTGTAAACTGTATTGAAAATTAATACGATTCGCGCGGGCGGATATGTGTGTGTATGCGACGGAGACGCCGAATGTTTGCGATCCGTTATATGTATCTCGTCGTCGGGCGAGAATTGCGGAGCTTGCGAGCGAGATCTCGAGCCTGCCAGCTTGTATGCATCGTATACGGAATGTGTATAGCCGCGCTTATGATCCGGCTCGTCGCGCCGATCGCACGTATATTACGCACGGATTGCCGCGCGATGATGCCCCAAAATAACCCTCGGCCAATGTTCACACCTACGCACACACTCACACACATACACACGCCGTGTAGATACATCGAGCGTCGACCGTATATTATACAATCGGAATGGTCTTTGTATAGGCGCAATACGTCGGCAATTTCGTATCGGTATACACGATATACACGTGTAAATGCGTCGTATCGTTGAGCCGTTGCGATATGCAGCTGCAGACGATCGAGAATTACCTATGTGTGTGTCTGTGTGTGTAATCGTTATCGGTACGATGCAACTTTTTGTATAGGAAATCGAAAGGGTGCAGAAAGTCCAAGTCGATCTTTTTACGCCGACGATTTATCGTGTTGCAGAAGTCGATGTACGCCTGCGAGGGAGCAACGCGTCCGCGCCGAATTAAATTCCATTACGAACGCGAGATGGCCTTCGGCCGATGAAAATGTAAACACGCGGTCGAAGTAGTCAAAACATTTAGATTTAAAGACCATTCAAAAGTATACTATAGTTTGCTCCATTTCATCCCCAAGTTTTTTAAAATAGCAAGAAACTCTATTTTTTTTTTCAAAATGCAACGAAAAAAAGTCCTCCTTTCGTAAAACGAAACGATGCGTAATGACTGCAGACCTAAACAAGAGTCAGAAATTCATCAATGACCGTCGAATACTTCTGCCTGTGGGGTTGAGAATAACGGCCACAATGTATTTCTCTTATTCTTCCAACATTATTAAAAGCACATTTTCCACGAGCACAAAAGAATCCTGCCTACCTATCCTATATTCGCAGCTACGTAAGGACGACGAAACGGACGGGAGGGGAAAAAAAGCACAACGAAAACGGCAAAAACCTTCGCGCGATATTGATTATTTTTTTCCATATTTTTTTTTCTCTCTCTCTCTCTCTCTTTCGCGAGGTCTGCATGTAAGCGGCATGAGCGCGCGAGAGCTAGTTGCCGGTATAAATCTCACGTATAAAACGTATCGCTCGGGCGCGTACACTGCAAAACCGAGTCTACTGCTGCTGCTGCTGCACACGAGCTCGAGTAATACGCGCGCTCGAACGTTCACCCACACACACAGGGGATATTTTTTTTCCACTTCGAAGTGCAGGCGCGCGTGCAGATTATCGCTCCCGCAATGCCCCGCGCGCGAAGAAAGCAAGAGAGCAAAAAAAAAGAAGAGAGAAAGAGAGCGAGCTTTTAGTGAAGTACTGGATCTTTTAAGACGATAGATTATCGACTCTGGTGCGCACACACACACACACACACACACACACACACACGGGTACACTTGAGAAATAGAGAGAGAGACAAATTTGTTCGCTCGCCTTTTTCACTATTTTACGAAATAAATAATAATGGCCAATCGACCTGTCTGCGGGCAGTATATAACAGTAGCCCCATGTTTCAATATCAATATTGACCGTCGATCCGATTGACACAATTGCAAAGGCCATTATTTGCCATGTAGCAGCGGCAGCAGCTCTAGGACAAACGACGACGATCATGTGCCCCCCGGTACTTGTTCAAATATCCTGTTTGTTTAAACAATTTTAGCCGAGCTTTTCAACGCGCTATCACATTTATACGTTATCGCATTTCCGTGAATTAGTGTGTGTATAAGTGTGTGTGTGTGTGTGTGTCTCGGCCGACGATATATAAAACGCGTCGCGCTGGATTCGTATCGCATGGATACAAAGTGACGTTTTTCCATTCAATATTTCCCATATATCCGTAGGTATATACATCGCAGATAATATAAACGTCGATATTTCATGTATAACATTTTTCCTTCATATGCACCCGACCAATACCGTATCCACGCGTTATAATACATATAGTAAACGCGAGAGGTTGTACAAAAAAAGTTGTAGAGAAGTCAAAAAAAAAAAAGGCCAAAATTTAATTTTCACTCGATGAGAGATTCATCCCGAGCGAGAGCTATCAACGACAAAAAGGATGCGCGAGCGGTGACAAGTTTTTCCCACCACCTCCACCTTATCTTTTTTTTCTGCCCATTCTCTCGTTAAAACAGGGAAGAAAATATATATTAAAAAAAAAGCTAGTCTCGCGATGCACGAAGAATATATAAATATAGAATTTTTCCCTCTCGATATGCAATTTCGATATCGTATAGTGGGTAATTCTATACCCTCTCTTTCTCTCGGCGGATCCTTTGAGTATGATAAAATGATTAAATTTAAATTTTACCTGGCGCGCGCTTTATATATACCTGCGTGCTCGTCGAATCAGTTCGTCGAATCTCGGGTTTTCTCGTTTCTTTTTTTTTTTTTCATTATATACACAGCGAGTACACCCATTGCCGTTATGAAAAAAAAAAAAAAAAATGATAATAAATGAAAAAAAAATGAGTATACGCGCGAGTGTTTCGCAATTCCAGCTCACAAAAGAGCCCCACGCACGCAAAGCTAGAGAGCTAGCTAGCAGCGCGAGGGCGCATTAAAAGAATCGTATAATTCAATGACGCGTTTCGAGGCTGCATTTTGATTTTCTCTGCGGCCGCGAGAACACACATGACTCGCATGATTAGTAGTCCAAGTTGCGATATATAATATATAATGCTATATACTATGTATGTGGGCCAGAGCAGCTCGCAGCTGCGGCATGATTTATCGGCGAGATTGATTAAATGATTTTTCTTTTTTTTTTTTTTTTACTCGTTCTCGTTATCCTCGCGCGCAGTTGCTGCTGAATTACGCCGTGTCGCTGGTGGAGCTGAGCCTGTGCGTGCTGAGGCGGGCCGAGTTCGCCGGCGTCTGGAACGCCATACAGGCCTTCGACGAGGCCTACGACATCGGCCTCGACAACAACAAGGGTGGTGGTGATCGAGACCAGCAGCAGCAGCAGCACCACCCGCTGCTCCGCCAGGCCAAGCACTGGCTGTGGCTGCTGCTGTTCGGCTTCGTGCTGGCCTGGGTCAGCGTCAATCAGACGGGCATGTACGCCTTCAACGAGTCCTACGTCAACAACATCGGCTACATGCTGACCTACGTGGGCACCTGCGTGGCCGTGCTCAAGTTCTGCGGCATGGCGGCCCTGCTGCTCCAGCGATTTCGCCACCTCAATCAGCTGCTGCAGGCCAAGCTGGATACCAACGTAAACGACTCCAAGGTGGATTACGCGAGGGAGACCGAGGACGTTGACGTATAAAATAATAATAATAATAATCGATCGCGCACCGACACCGACAGCGATTAATTGGTCCTTTTTTTTTGTGCAGAGAATCGAGACGTCGTACAACTACCTGCTGGCGATCGGCGAGCGCCTCAACGAGATCTACTCCCTGCCGCTGTTCCTCTACCTGCTGAATCTCTTCGCCCACGCGGTCAGCAACATGTACTACTTCTCGATCTGGACGATAGTCGACCGGGACTACGTGTCGCAGCCCCGGGTGCTGCTCTGCCTCGTCGCCTGGCTCGTCGTCTACTTCGGCCAGATGTGTCTCATTCATATCGCCTGTCATTTCGTTTCGGCCGAGGTACTACTACTACTACCACAGTTATATACTGTATACAAATAGACGATTCGGCGGATCGGCAGACGTTTGCAGCGCGTCAATGTCGAGCCTTGACGGCAATCGAGCTGTCGCGCATATAGCTTATAACATATTATACCGTGTGTGTTCGCAGGCGAATAAAATGCCGATTGTACTGCTGGATTGGCGTCGACGCGACATCACGAGTAACGTACGTCTTTTATATTTACCTCTCGTCGCTACTCTCTCTCTTTCTCTTTTATTTTACTCTTTTTTTGTCGTATACATGTACGTGCGGTGTATGTGTGTATACGCCCCCGCGAACCTGTACGACGTATGCGCGTTAAAAGAGAGCAAGAGTAGAGACGCACAAAGAGAACGTCCGAGTTATCGAGTTTCGAGCTCGAGACAGAGAAAATCTCTTCTTCCTTTTTTTTATCTTTTTTTCATTTTTTTTCATTCTGCCTCCACAGGAATATAGATCGACGCTGCACTATTTGAATAGAAAAATGAGATTCAACGCGGCTGGATGTTTCTACGTGAATTTGCAGCTGCTGACCTCGGTAAGCGCGATCATCTTTCCGGGGGCTAGATTATTTCTTTTTCTCTTTTCTTTTTTTTTGTGGCTTCCGCGTTATTTAGAGTATAACGAACGGAGCAAAAAAAGAGGGCCGGTAGGAGGATGAATCGATTTCCAGTTATTTATGCATTATCGTATACATCCCTGTCTATTTTTCTCTTTGACGCAGACTTTCGGCCATCTGACGACCTATCTGGTGATACTGCTGCAGATACCTTCGGAGGGCTCCGAGTGATCATTCGACTACATTAGAATATTATCGTGTACACAAGAAGAGTCACGATGCGGCGCTGTTTGCGCGCACCGCGCAAAATTACGTATATATCGCTACTGCAAATGCGCAACGATCGCAATGTCGGTACAAGCGCACGGCCAGTGGAAATATTTAATTTTCCAAACGAAACATTGTTTACCCCCTTCTCCGTTTGAAAGCCGCGCGCGTTCGAGTGCAGAGAGAGAGCGCACAGGAGCGCGAGAGAGAAATAAAGCGAGTAATAAACTCTCCTGCCCTCCTGCGCGAGTGCATGTATACAATGAAAATCGCATACCCCGAATTTCGACGCTCGTAACTTTTATCGCACTTCTATTATTTTTCTGCCGTTTGCCTTTGTATATATTAATTTAAACATTCGCTCGCGTTAAATGTCGCGTGTGCGCATACCGCGCACGAAAAATCGCGCGGATCGCCGTACGCGAGTCCCGTTAAAGTTTTTGTTGTTTTTTTTTTTTTTTCTACGGTAAGCCATTTTCATATTCTACGACCGTACAATGGGACACGCGAACTCGCGAGCTTGCGAGCTTTTCTCTCAATTACTTAGCGCGGGCGCGATGTTTAACTCGGCTCTGTGTCTCTCTCTCCCCCTTTTCCGTCGTTTTATTGCTTCATTAACTGACTTTCTAATTGCTTCGTACCCGTCTGGTTAATGATTTTATTGAATCGCTTTCTTGCTCGCGCCCGGGAGTGTGTATATCGCCGGGCGACCCGAGCTCTATTATTATACATTGTGTTACGTATATAGGTGTATCAACGTGTACCGTCGACTAATTAATCTATGCGTTTCTTTTTACTCCGCTCCTTCTTTTTTAATTCGCTTACGGAGATCGAAAAGTTACCGATGATCGTCATCAATTTATTAAAAAAAAGTTGGAATTCATGTAACTCGGTAATGGTCGCTGATGACGAACGAGTCATGCATAAAAAGAAAATACAACCGCTCGTTGCATAAGTTTTGCTTCTGGAATCGTGTTGTAAAAAAAGCTTCTTTTTTTTGCATGAATTTCATCCTTTAATTAACGTGTACATGAATTTTAACACGGGCGGCTCGTGCGGAAAAACGGCGCAGTTACACAATTTTCCCGGCGCGAATTTAATTATACAAATAACTCGCGCAAAATCGCGCACGTGTCAATGCTGCGCGAAACTCGACACACGCGCGTCCTCTCCCCATTTTTTTTTTTCGTTTGTAACAGCGCGCGAGCTCGTCGCGCGTGTATATCTTAGAGAGTTGAAAATGTTACACGTGTCGGATCGTGACGAGTGCAGTCAATTTTACAGGAATGTCTTTGAAAGGTATCAAACTTTCGGGGTCATCGCGAAATAATAATCGACTCTCTCCATTGCGCTTGGGATAAAATGAAAATACTCGTGTGTCGAGTATAGATATAAACTCGAAGAGTATTTTTCGTTGAAAATATAGCGAATCTTCAACGAGTTGGCTGCAGCTCGCTCAAAGAGCGCCCGAGTTACGACTCGCCGCTTCGTGCGAAGTAGACAGTTACAGTTACGTACTGTATCATAACAGAATGGTAACAATGTCATGTAAACAAAAAGCAGAGTAGTAGGCAAAAATTTGTCTGCGTGGGATGGATTAATTTAGATTAGACAGTTCAAAATGTTTATTTTAAAATAATTGTAAAAATAATGTAACAGAGAAGGAACCTGTTTTTTCATCAAGTAGAAAAATTCGATTTCGCTAGTAAATTTCAATCGTAATATGATTAAACTTTAATATACAATTATCTTTACTTTTCCACTCGCAGATTTACAGATAAAGGTACTCGCCATCTAGTGGCGATGGGTGACTTCAATTATAATTGAATTTTTATAAATCAGTGCTAGTTTAATTATATGAAACGAAGACTTCATGTAAAATTACTTTATATAAAACTCGTTATATCGTTTACTTAAATTGTGATGTCTGATATTGTACTAAATCGTCATTCAATTTAAAACTTTTTTCAAAATGTACGTTCGATATTTTCAATCCGAAAAAACTCATTTGCTGGTTTCTCATTGTAAATTTGACGAATAAAATGTTTACCTCGAACGCTGATCCACGCGCAAAATAATCTCTCAGTGCATTGTCGTTTGAAAAATTGTAATAATTCGCACGATACTTTGCACTTTGTTTCCGTCATCATTCGTAATATTTGTTCTCGCATTAACAGGTCGCGCGAAAAATGTTCGGCCCGGCTCGCTCGACTTTTGCCAACGCCTTAATGCCTCATATAAAATTACGCGAAATATGCAGATTCGAATAATTAAGCTACGAGCCGTAATACCCCTCTGGTGATCCAATTACTCAAATAATTAAACTCCGTGCCGCATTCGTCCAATATCTCTAATGCCGGCCCCCGTAACTATACACGCCATTGTATACATATATAGTGCGAGAGCTCGTAGATGATCGAAAGACCGACGAAACTTTGTCGTTTCTTCTTCCGTTCTTTTTTTTTGCACTCTTTTTTCTGTTCAATTTAATTGAATGTATATACTCGGAGTGAGAGATAAGTAAGTACGGCGACCTCCGCAGGAGAGAGAAAAAAAGAAAAACGACAAGAAGGAAAAAGTTCGACGACTCGGGGGGCGGCGGCGGTGGCGAGAATTACCCATATATAAGAGCGCCGCAGCCGCGGCATATATAGCATCTATATGTACCAGAAGCAGCTCGGACAACGTGTTAAAAGAATGGATGGAATTAGTGCTGCAGCTGCTACTGTCCTCGGGCGTAAGTTTGACACTGTACACGAAGAGGAGGGGCAAGTAAAGAGTAAGAAAAAAAAAAAGAAACACGCACACAACGAGAAGTCCGTTAAAAATTACGTAAAAGTTTATTGAGTTAAGGTATCCCTTTTCGCGATCTTAACGAAGCTGCTGCTTCTCTCAGTCTCTCTCATTCTCTCGAGTCTTCGCGTAAAAATAGAGAAAGAAAGAAGAAGAAAAAAATTGACCGCGATTAATAACGCATTTATAATGGTCGGAAAGTATCGCACGAATGAGCTCCGCGAACTTTTATATGCGGGTCTGCCCTGTCATCGATTGCCGTTAGACATAAAAGAAAACGAGAAGAAAAGGCGTCGAATCTTAGCTTCTCGCGTATTATAGTATTCTTTGGAAACTATATGACGACGCCGCCGACTCCTAGAGCAAAGTTTTTTTCATTTCATATTATATGCACGGGACTTTCGCGCACCGTCCCGTATCACGTGTGTGGCAGGGGCTGGCGGAGATCGCGAGCGCGAGGCACACAAATGACAGACGCGATTTTACGCGCCTCGGACCCATATCTATAAAAGCGAGTAAAGTGGCAGATGTATAAACTTTTCAACGCGCAATGCAGTGTATGTATGTACGGGGGGGACGGAAAGGCGAGATTTTGCTCCACGTTCGAGATCGGTTCCCCGGAGAACTTTTTTCCTTCTTCGGCGCTCGGCTATATACACACACACACTCGCGCACGCATGTAAGTTTCATCGGCCGATTAGACTATAAAAACAAATGTCTAAGAGCACATCCCGGGCCCATAGGAGAAAAGGAGAGAAAGAGAGAGAGAAAAGTTGAAATAAAAAAAAAAGGAAAGGGGAAAAAAGAAAATTGACCCAGCCCCGGCCGTTATACCGACTGGCTCCGGGCGGGCAGAGCAAAACTAGCTCTGATCCCTCGCGGGAATATATCGTCTTGAAAAGTACATTACGCTTCTGTGTGTGTGTGTGTGTGTGTGTGTGTGTGTGTGTGTGTGTGTGTGTGTATGTATCCGTTCGGCGACAAGAAAACTCGAGGTTGAAGAAGCCGCGTGCCTTTTTTTTTGTAACGACGTTATATATATCTATATACATCGAGTGTGTGTATAATATAATCCGCACGACGTCTCGTTACCGAGCACTTGGGGGGAGGGATGGAGAGGAGGGAAAACGGGCACCGAGCTTTTTGACAGCGCAGGGGGAAGATAAATTGGAGGAAAATATTTTGCGCGCGCGAGCATAATATATACCATACGTTTGCGAAGGTGTATCCACGAGTCTGGAATCGCGTTATGTCTCGAATGCTCAATTTTCTACGAAACTTATGTATTTGTGTCCCTCGCGTGACGTGTGCACATATGTATGTACGCGTACATAATATAATAAATGCGCGAGCCACGTGGCATCATCGATTATTGCAATTGTATCGCGTCATTCTCTCGCTTTCGTATGCACAATACGCGATACGTTTTTAAGCAGCGACGCGATATTATTTTTTATTTATTAAAGCGAGATTTTCATCAACGTTGCGGATCGGCGCGCGCGGGGGAGGGAACAATAGCTGCGAGGCCTCCCTCGATCGAGTTACGCTTGTAGCAGTGTAGGGCGCCGATCGTGAAAAATGTCCGACGACGGTAGAGAGGGTGATTTTTCACTCGACGCCGCGCGGCGTGTACTTTTTTTTTGCAGCCGCGCTGCAGATTGGCTCCGTATATATTACACCTCCTGCGGACGTTGCGAACGCGCACAGCAGCAAGCACCTGTTAGCTGCAGATTTCGTTATATACGTATAGTAGTAATTCGAGAGCTCGTTGTAACGCGATTTTGATAAAAAACAATGAAGAGAAAAAGGCGCCGATGAGTTATACGTTCGCGAGAGAGAGTTTCCGAATCGCGAAAAATCTTGAATTACAGGGGATTTTTTTTTATCGCGTTTTAAATAAAAGAAATATCTCTACTGTTCTTGAACTTGAGATTATCTTCGCTTTTATTGTTTTTATTTTGAACAACAATGATATTATCTTCATTGTCAATTTTAACTGCAGAAATCGTTGATTCGAAACGTATCGCTACGAGTGAAAGATAATTTTCGTTGGAGTGTGAAAATATCAATCGATTGTAGATTATTCTTACGTTGTCTTCGTTCACCAACTTAGATAAATGTGGAATTTTCATGATGCAATAATCGTTGTGAAAAAACGATATCCTATTTTACACAAATAATAAGTCAAACTCGTCTCTTGAAGTCTTGAAAAATTGGCATTTATTACAAAAAAAAAAACAAAATTCTTACAAAAAGTTCACAAAGCTTCGCAAATAAAAAATTTCACGTTCACTTTTATTCCCAGCTCAAAGTACTGGCGCTCGGCAGGTTACTCAAAATTGATAAATCGATCTCTTTCGCGGGATTGTTGCCCAGGTGCAATTCCTGCAACGATCTCCCGTACGGCAGAGGTGTGTTATTGAAGGTCGCGAAGAGATTATTCCGAATGTTCAATCTTTTCAAGCCCGAGAAGCTCATCCAAGGCCGGAAATGGGTGAGCTTGTTGTCGCTCAGGTCGATCTGACTCAGATACGACGACCTATTCAAGTACGTCATCGGGAGCGACGTCAAGCTGTTGTTTCTCAGAGATAAGGCTCGCAACTGCATCTCGGCCGTGATGTAATCCACGGCGTCCAGAGTTTCGACTAAATTTCGATTAGACATGCTGTCCAACGCCAGCACATAGAGACTCGACATTTTTTTCAAGAAGCTCAATTGCAAGAGGGAAGGATTATTGCTCAGATCCAAATTTCTCATGGCGAATACTTGCGAAAATAAATTGTCGTCCAGTTGTCTGATGTCGTTGTTCGACAAATCTAAATCTTCAAAATTAGCAGCTTCTTTGAATGAATCTTTATCGACTCTACTAATTCGACAGTTTGACAGATTCAATTTTTTTAGATCCTTCAACGATCCCAAACGCAAGAAAGATTCACGTTTTCTCTGGTCCGAGATATAAAATACGTCGGTGAAATAATTGTCGGACAGGTCCAAGTCCACGATGTGGATCAATCGAGTCACGTTCAGTTGGTACAAGCTGGCGTTTTGCAAGATCAAAGTCTTGACCGACTGCTGTACCTTTCCTATGAAATCGGTACGCTGGGCGTGCTCCAAACTGACGTCCGACAAATCGAGCTTCTCCAGCAGCGGAAAGCTTCTGCTCCAATTTTTGAACGAGAGATCCACGCGGATTCCGCGCAGAGACAGATGCTTCAGATTCGGAAACACCAGGTGCTCGGGCAGGTCGAGGGAAGGCGCCGGGATACTCGAACCGGCCGAATGATTGCTGGCTTCGTTGTAATCGAGAACGAGCGTCTCCAGACGGCTGTGGCTGCCGAACGACAGCATGTCCCCGATCCTCAATCTGTTGTGCGACAGGTCCAATACCTTGAGATTCGGCAGATCGTCGAAAACACCGGGCCCGAATTTCTCGATGTGGTTGCGACGCAAGAAAAGCTTCTCGACGAACGGACTGTTCAAGAGTCGCTTATCGAGCACCGGCCCGAGGTTCATATCCGACAGATCCAGCGATACGCCGCACGACGACGACGAGCAGCTTTCACCGACTCTATTGGCGCAGGAAGTCGCATCGTCGCTTCTCTCGATCGAGGCTACTTTATTCGTCGAAGTAAACGCCGTCCTCGCCTGGACTTGAATCGATCCTAATGGAATAATCAATAGCAGCGCGAGGAGCGAGTTAACTTTGAGATTACTCATCTCTGTGGTAACTTTTTTTTTTACACTACACTGTAAATGTTACTGTCAAGCCGACACTTTACTTTGATGGACAGCTGCACTGCGATTGAAACCGGCTATTTATATATTTTATATTCAACTTGAAATGTTATGTGTAATCTAAAATTTTTTTTTTTAATATCGCAGTATTATCTTCTCTATCTGATTACGATATCTGTACATGACTTCGATTGTTAACAGTGGGATAATATGTTCATGAGGCAGAGGATCTTTTTAGAGATACATAATTATTGATAATTAATAAAAAAAGTTATTTTCCTGGTGTCATTAGCTCGTTAAAAGTATGAAAAATTAAATGTGATTGTGATTTTTTTTTCAAACACAACCAAAAAAACGTCGTCTCTAGTTTGTATCATTGAAAATGTTGGTGTATGCCACAATTCAAATCTGATGAATCTGGCGCTTGGTACAATTTTAATTTCATCGACAATTATCAAACTAATCTTTTTTACAAACTCGTGTGTAATAAAATTGAAAATTCGAATTCAGTTTCATACCGAAATATTGTTTTTTATTAGGCGCTTTGATCACAAGCAAAAATAGTGGCGCGCTCTACTCGCCGACACTGCAGAGAAAGAAACGCAATAATTTCGAAATATTAAAAAATCACTTTTACTTTGTAATAACAGTTTAAAAATAATTTGTAATACCTTAGAAAAAGCTTAAATACGTTATTATTTTATAATACTTTCGATTTAGATAAACCCCAGCGATGATAATGTTATTATCGCAATTTTTCAAGCACAACGAATGCCTCTCAATCGCTGTCGAAGTGCGCGAGAGCCTTCACGGATTGATCGGCGCACTCCTGGATGGCTTTGAGCACTCGTTCCAAGATCTCGGCGTGGATCGCGGCCTTATCGCGCTGGGCATCGACGCCGAACCAGGTCCTCGGGTCGGCCAATCTGTCAAAGTTTTTGCCGATCTTGCGCTGCGTCTCGACCCGCTCGAATCGCTCCTCGCCCCAGTTGGCGCGTTTTTGCTGCTCCTCCTCGGCGACGCGCAGAAAGACCACGAGGTCGGGCGCCGGCAGTCCGCGATCCGGCTGGCTGCACCACTCGAGCGTCTGGCCGGAGTTGGCCGCGGCGTAGGCCGCCCCCGACGCTGCGTACCTGCCCGGACGAGACGTCCACGTGATGATCATTCGTTATACAATCGAGAAGGCGATTGAGAGCAATAAAAGTAATCGATTATAAAGAGTAATTTTACCGATCGACCACGAGGGTCGTGCCTTCCTCGAGGCTCTTGATGAGTCGATCTTTGCACTCCCAGCGATTGGCCGAGAACAGCAGATGAGCAGCTTCGGGCGAAAATTCGACCTTCTTCGTTAGATAGTCGTCGATGAGTTTGCCAATCGCCGTACTCCTGTCTGTGGCAAAAAAAAAAGAGGAAATTAAGCACGACTGTACTATCTTTTTAAAAAATTTTTTCATCGATCGAATAATTTTTATTCAATTAAATAGAATAATTCAACATCTGGCGGATATTTTATATTTATTCGAATTGAAAAATATATTTCATTGATTGAAGTCTTGTACATTTGTCACTGAAAAAGATAAGGATAATTCTTTCTTATATAATAATGTAAGCATTTTTTACAACTTAGAGGTTTAAAATACGCCATCTAGGAAAAGAATCGAAACTATTTGAAGAAATTAAAAAATTTAATATTGAAAAAGAAAGTTATGTTCTTCCTTCGAAGGAGTTTTGTGGTAATTTTAATATTTTCACGAGTCTTGCGACCACTACTATTTATATTTTTAAATTTAATTGAATATTAGACATTCTATCTTGATATATTTGTTACGTCTCATTATGCAGTCAAACATACTATAGTATGTAATAAAAATAATTCGATTGAGTCGACTAGATATGTGCTCAGTTAAAAAATATTTTACGGCAATCGTAATACGATTTCATTGAACCGACCGTAAATTTGGTTTTTTTAATAATCAGAATTACCATTAAGAATTAAATAATAACTTTAAAATTATAACTGATTAATATTTAATACTTATTTCTAACGATGAATATTTTTCCATTTAAAATCGTGTTAACCATGAAACCGATTTTATGGAGTAATGTCACGATTTTTTCAAATCCATTAAATATTTATTCATGTTACATAAATATTTTTTATGACAAAAAATAAGTAGTTCGTTTCCCGTCAATAAAATTTTTTTTTCAATGTGTTAATTTTTTCCAATAAATTGTATGTACGTAACTTATTTAATGGATATACATTATGTTTAAATTAGTTACTCACGCACTCGTGAGTGTGATTTTTAACATTTACGATGGATGATCGTGATTTAAGCTTGCTCTATTACACGTTGTATAAACTGATCAGTTTATTCAGGGTGAAGGGGGTGCGACAATTTTACCTTTTATGCATAACGAATTCTCAAATGAAAAATTCCGTTTTCAATTTTAACCCCTGACGAACACGTATCGGTTGAAATTACCTGGGAAGGATTGTTTTTGAACGGCGACGCCACGTGCTCGCAGAGCATCCGTCAACATCGAGACCTGCGTCGACTTTCCCGCCCGATCGAGGCCCTCGAAAACGATGAACGCGCCGCGACCCATTATCCTGTTCACGGCCAGGCTCTTTGGCATTGAACGGCAATCAAGACGGAGCCGCCCCCGGCAGATGAATGCGTGTCTTGCGTTAAAATTATTTCGAACGCGCCGTCAATTCCCGTACTATATACAAAAACTCGTCGTTTCGCCGGATTGGATTCGTATATGTATTCCACTCCGGATGACGCTCGGTTAAGGTCGATGAAATTATTCGAAATCCGTCGATACGCGAGGTGACACAGTTGCGCGCCGATAACAATCCACTATACCGAATAAACTTTAAAAACAAGCCCGACAACAATCGCTCGAACTTTCGTATTTGCAAGGCAAAACAAAAATGTAACTGCCGAGTAGGCGCGAATCGTCGTCTGCTCGGACTCGAGACAGAGCACGCCCTCGGTCGGACCGAGTGCTGAACTGCTAGCGTCGTGTTATGATTATAATAGAAAAAGACGCGCGTCAGGCCGTTGAGCGAAAGGTTAAAAACTTTCGATTTTCTCGGCCAACAATCGAGACTCTCCTGAAGCCGGAGATCATAATTTTTTCTAGGTCGAGTTTCGAATGGAAACATTAGCGAGACACCATCAAAACACGTTTGCATCAACTTGTCGCTTGCACAATGTTATAACGGTAAAAATTTGGAAATTTGACGGCTCGACCGAGAGATGCCGTTACGGGTTTACGCGCGTGTGTTGTGCAATTCTCTCGCCGCCGCCGCCGCCGCCTGGCCGTAGGCCTACTTATAGACGAAATTTTCGCGATTCGAGGTAAACTCTCTCGTTGTTTGCTTACGGCCGCGTTTCGTCGTACCAAAAGAAAAACAACTGTTTGAAACTCCGACATCGCAGCGAGTGTCAACTTGTCATTATCGGCGCAGCTAGCCAAACAATCGACGGCGTACCGATACAGCAGCAGCGAGCAAGAATTTATAACATACAATCGTGCAAGGGTGTCGTGCAGTGTGTTCCCCCTCTGCAGGTGCCTTCGTGAAAACACACCCCAATAAGCGTACGCAGGGATCGATATTGTCGTCCGATGTTAAAGAAATTCGCGCTGATCGAGAAAGCCGCTGGATCACCGCTGCTGCGAGGACTGATCGTAGCTGCAAAGGCCCGCACCTCCGCGACCGGTAATCTTGGCTGCTGCAGCGGCATTGGTAGTGCTCATCATAACCTAAACTCGTGCCTGCGCATCTCGACGGCTTGTGCGACTCGCGGTGCTGCCAATAAAGCTGACGCCGCCTGCCCCGATCGTCCAGCTGCTGACGAGCGCCGCCGCCGAGCAGTAGTACTCAGACCAGCTCCGACGACGACGACACTCACACGCTCGTTCTCGACCTCGCACGAGCTGCTCTACAATCGTCCGCGACCCCAAGCCGAGCACATGACCAAGTTCAGCTACCCGAAGGCCCGCCGAGACGAGGCGGCCGTCGAGCTTCTGCATAATGTTGAGGTGAGTGGGTGAGTCCGACGCCGCCGCCGCTGCTGCTGTGTTGTTGTTGTTGTGTTGATGCGCCCGCCCGCCTTCGAGCGTGTATTTTGCTTTTCTTGCTGCGGCTGGTGGCTCTTCTTTTTATCCGTCTGACCTACTTACGAGTTTTGTTTGTTTTTCTCTCAGGTCAAAGACCCTTACAAGTGGCTCGAAGATCCCGACTCCGAGGAAACCAAAGCCTACGTAGACGCCCAAAATGCCATCACTCAACCCTTCATCAATGCCTGTCCCAAGCGCGACGCTATTCACGACCGGCTCAAACAGATGTGGGATTATCCCAAGTATTCGTGTCCGATTAAAAAGGGCAGCAAATATTACTTCTTCATGAATACTGGATTGCAAAATCAGAGGTACGGACTTGTGTCCTTCTCTTTGCTTGAATTTTAAAATAGAAATAAACATTTGCTCATCTACTATGTGTTGCAGTGTATTTTATGTGCAAGATTCTTTGGACGACGAACCAAGAGTTTTTCTTGATCCCAATACGTTGTCTGCCGATGGGACTGTTGCTTTAGCCGGTGGAAAATTCAGCGAAGATAATACCATGTACGCTTATGCCTTATCCGCAAGTGGATCTGACTGGAATACCATACATTTTATGAATGCCAAAACCGGTATGCTTAAAATTCCGTATGTATTACTAATTGATCAAAAACCTTGAAATTTTAATTCTTATTTGTGACACGTAGGAGAAAAATATCCCGAAGTTTTGGAAAAAGTCAAATGCTCAGGAATATCCTGGACTCACGATAATAAGGGTATATTCTACTCCTGTTATCCTGATGCTGTTGATACAGCGGATGGTTCTGAAACCAACAAGAATGAAAATCACAAACTACGTTACCACAGAATAGGCACACCGATCACTGATGATGTGACAGTTGCAGAATTTCTTGATCAACCTCTTTGGAGAGTGTAAGCAGTTTTTATCAAGTTTTTTATCATAAAATTCATTGTCACAGCGTAATAATTTTTTTATTTGTATGATTTCAGAGAAGGAGAAGTTACAGATTGTGGGAGGTGGTTAATTGTAATTGCTCAGAAAGAATGTCGAGATAATCTAGTCTTTTTTACCAAAATTGAGGGAAAAGAAATAAATGGAAAACTACCCTTAACTGAAGTAGTGGGGAAATTGGATGCTGATTACGAGTACATAGCTAATTCGGGTACTAAAGCTGTATTCAGAACCAATAAAGATGCACCAAACTACAAATTGATCATGGTGGATCTTGAAAATTTCAAGGAAAACCAATGGGAATGGGAAACTTTGTTACCGGAACATGCCCATAATGTCTTGGATTGGGCAACTGCTGTCGATGGCAACAAACTTTTCACGTGTTACATTGAGGATGTCAAGGTAAGTTATTCATTGAATTTTCATTTTTATTTTAATCATTGAATAATTCTCACAATAGTATTTTATATCATTACAGAATGTATTGAGTATTCATAGCTTAGAAAATGGAACGTTACTTAAAAAGTTACCTTTAGATGTAGGAACAATATCTGGATTTTCTGGGCATAAAAAGTACTCTGAAATATTTTATTCATTCACTTCTTTCTTAACACCTGGAATAATCTACACCATGGACTTAAAAACTGAAGAGACACCAAAAGTATGACTTATCAACTACAGTATTATCATTATCACGAGCTTGTGTGATAAATTTTCTTCAATTTGATTTATTTGCAGGTATTTCGTGAAATCAAGGTCAAAGATTTTGATGCTAGTTTGTATAAAACTACTCAAATATTCTACTCTAGCAAAGATGGCACCAAAATTCCAATGTTTATTGTGCATAAAAAAGTAAGCTTTTAACAAACAATTTATTTATTTTTATGCATTTTTCTCTACAAATTTTAATTTTATTCCAGGATATCGTCTTGGACGGTTCGTCACCCGCTCTTCTCTATGGATACGGTGGTTTCAACGTTAGCATTCAGCCGGCATTCAGTGTAACAAGAACAGTCTTTTTACAACACTTGAACGGCGTCTTGGCTATTCCAAATCTTCGCGGTGGAGGGTAAATTTTAAGAATTTCTAATACCTGGTAATTTATAATCTTTCAAGCAATTACTGATGCGAATTTTCCAAAAACAGAGAATATGGAGAAAAGTGGCATAACGGTGGACGATTCATGAATAAACAAAATGTTTTCGATGATTTTATCAGCGCAGCTGAATACTTGATTGAAAACGGTTATACAACATCACAAAAGCTAACCATTCAAGGAGGTAGCAATGGTGGTCTATTAGTTGGCGCATGCATCAACCAAAGACCTGATCTATTCGGTGCTGCAATTGCTCAAGTTGGGTGAGTCGCTTTGAAAGATACATTTTTAAAGGTAATAGAAATTAAGGAACAAATTATTAATTTAACGTTTATTTTTTCAGCGTAATGGACATGCTGAAATTTCATAAATTCACCATTGGCTACGCCTGGACCTCCGATTACGGAAATCCAGACGAGCCCGAGCACTTTAAGAACTTGATCAAATACTCGCCGCTGCATAACGTCAAAGCTCCCAGCAACGGTGGCCAATATCCGGCAACTTTATTGCTTACCGCTGACCACGACGATCGAGTTGTACCGCTGCACAGCCTGAAACACATTGCCACCCTGCAGCACGAGATTGGCAAATTGCCACAACAAACCAATCCTTTGTTCATCAGAATCGATGTCAAAGCCGGTCACGGTCGTGGAAAACCTACTACCAAAGTGGTGAGATATTTATTCTTGTCAAATATATTTATTTGTCCAGCTCTTTGATAATTATAGCTAATTTTTTATTTAATTTTAGATTGAAGAAAGCACCGACATCTTATCGTTCATGCTGCAAACGCTTAACCTGGAGTTTCATGATTAAATTGTAAATATCCAAAAGTTTGTCACTGCCTAAATTGGCTAAGTACTTGCATCTTATTATTTACTTTCAATAATTTATTGGATAAGAATTTTTTTAACCAAGATTTGTTATTAAAAATTAACGTGGACGTGTGAATTTTTCAATCAAGCTATGGATTGTGAGTTTTTATTTTAAGTACAATGTTTAGAAAAGTATTTCTTGATCGAATAAAATTTTTCTAAATTCTTAAAATAACAACGTGTTTATCGCCGATTACGAGCAAAAAGAAATTCTTTTATCCTGCAGATAACTCTCCGAGCCCAATCGTCCCCTACCTATATATTGGTTATTTTGTCTATCCCCTCTCGACGACGATCATCTCTGCATGCGCATTCTAAGCTATATATATTTCGAAGCCTTAGCTACTGCTGTACAAGCTGGTATGATGTATGTGTCGTTCGCTGCTGTGCGCGCTTGTATGCGTGCATCAGTGCAACGGTGTCATATCATTTTCAAAACATCAGAAATTCCATTGGTGAATTCCAATCTGGAGTTTTGCGAGATGCCGACGAAATCGAGATCGCACAACGAGAGCAAGAAAGAAGGACACGAAGAAAAAGAGAGGCGAAGAGCGTCGTCGCGAAGACGTCGTAGTTTCTGCTGCTGTTTGACAACAAAAGGAGCGCAACGTGATCGAGATTTTCAATTGTCGATCTCGGGTTTTACTTACGTATATATACGTAGCAACATACAGAATTATTATGCGAAAAGGCCATTGACACCGAATGTACAACAATCGTCGCTCGTTCGCGGCTTTTCTATTTCTCTCCGAGGATATAGCAACATGTGTAAATTAGCCAACAATACCGGAACGAGCGACGTCACGCTTAAAGTCAGCTCGAGAGAGAAAGAGAGAGAGAGAGGAACGATCTCGCCCGCATCCAAGCGATCGACTTCATGATTGATATACCTATATATGTATCGCAATTATTTCTCTCTCTCTTTTTCTCTCTATAGCCCAAAGGTCGTCGTCGCTACCGCAATAAAGCCGATCCGCGGCGAATCTTGGCAATGTTTACACCTGCGCGCGACGACCCACGGGGCCGGTCCGCGCTGCTCGCGAGATCATACGCACTTACACACATACGTGTGCGCACATTATGTGTGTTACAACGGCGCGGAAAAATATTTTGGAGAAGGTGAAACCGCTGTGTGTGTGTGTACGGCCTATAAGAGATGTATTATTACGTACAGCGATACGCGTATGCGTGAGTGTGTGTTATCCGCGGCGCGTGTCCCCCGCGGCCGTTCACCGGCACACTCACACACGCGCGCGCGCGCGTCGAAAAACGATGGCAACTACACGGACAGAGAGAGGATAGAGCCGATGATTACCGTATTGGCAATATCAGTGCGGCATTTATCGTGCCGTCGGTGAGAGCCAACTACTCACACCGGCCTTGCGGTACGAAAAACGCGTTCATATATATCAATTAAAAGTTTCAATATATAAAAATAATTTATATAGACTCGGTTTCTTTGTTTATCGTCGCGTGTCGCGTTCAAAAACGTTTAGCTTGTAAAGCAAATTCTCAAAAGGAGCACGCGCGTGAACGAACCAGAAAGAAAAACTTCGGAGCGAGCGAACGATGTTTTCGTGAACAATTTTCACCTCGTCGTTGTTGATTTCTTGTTAAAACTTTTCATCGTTAATTTGGATTCTCTTCGTCCTTTGCTCGGCGCGGCCGTCGATTCGCTCACTTCTGCCCAGGTAAATTAACTCTCTCTCTTTCTCTATCAAATCTATCCGCTTCGAGACAACTTTTTTTTATTTACAAAAGTGGTGTTGTGCCCGAAACCAAAAATTTTGCAGCTGAAACAGTGCGACGGTGTAACGCTTAACAGAGAAAAGAGAGAGAGAGAGAGAGAAAGAAAGAAAGAGAGTCGCACACGACGACACACACTTGGCGTAGCCGTGCAATCGTACACGAATCATCTGCCAGGAAGTAGTAACGCACGAGATTAGAAGGCGAAGAGGCGCACGGAGCAGAAGAAGAAGAAGCAGCGAAGATGCGTCCGATCGAAGCGTACTCGAAGGAGCGATGCATGTCGGAGACGTCCGAGGGCACGACGACCACGGCCACGTCGTGCAAGTCGAGCCTCGACAACGTCGACGAGCTGCGCAACCTCGCCGCCGTCCTGGGCATCCTCGATCCGGAGAACCTGCACCAGGAGCGCTTCCGGGTGGATCGCCGCAAACTCGAGCAGATGCTGCTGGGTGAGTTTTTTTTTCGTCTCTCTCTTTGCCGATCTCGTTTGATTTCGTCGCGAATGAAATGCAAAAAAAAAAAAAAAATTGCCTCTTCGTGTGTGTGTGTGTGTGCGTGTGTTCGAGTGTCTGTTTGTCTCTGCGTGTGTGCGTGTGCCCAAGTGTGAGTCGCGGTGCGCGTTTTTGTGTGTGTGCGCGCGAAAGTTTGTGTGGCTCTCGGTTAAGTCGCGAATCGCGAACTTACGAAAAATCTGAGTGAACTTTGATCGTTAAATGTTTGTAAATAAGATCACACGTAGCGTTGAACGCGGAGAAGCTTTAAAACCCGAGCTCCGAAGAAAGTGTCAAGGATCCATCTCTACCGGCAAATTTCGCGTCGGGTCTACCTCGGTGCAGGTGTACGCGTCGAGAAAAGTCGTCTCGAATTTTCCGAAACTGTCGGGAGAAATTAAAAGTATCCAGGACATCGACTCGCAATTCGTAGCCCGCAACGTGTATTTATATTCATTTCTACGTGTGTTCGGCTCTCTCCTAGTCTCAGACGCTCGGCGAGCTTTTCTTCCTTTTCGTATATACGTATTACAGGCGCGCACACACACATACACACACACAATAAGTACCGGCACGCTTCCTTCAATTTCGGGGGTTACTCGGTGTCAATGACCAGAGACACGCACAGGCACATCCACGGCCGATGTGTACATTTGTTTATCCGTATAAACTCGTCATATTCTCGTGTACAACATAGATACTGTCTGGGCCCCCGTATTAGCCAATATATCGTAGCGTCGTTTACAATTGTACACGAGGCCTCGGATATACCTGGACGAGTACAGCCCCGGCTACGACGTTACCCCGATTTTCTCCTTTTTTCTTTCGACATTTTTCCAAGGCCCTGCGTTGATGCTATATGTTTTCTCCATAGGCCAGCTGTACAATCCGTCGGACGACAGCAGCCCGGTGACCGACTCGGCTGAAAGTTTCTTTTCGAAGGTGAGGATATCAGTTAGCCGGAGGAGGCAGCGAAAGCACAGCACACACGTCTGATAATGCTTTGACATTTTTCTGCGTCTGACTCGTCTCTCTCTCTTGCTTGCTATCGAAAGAACGAAAGAACGAAAGAAAGAAAAAAAATGAGCTCATGATTCATTTATCGATTTTTGTACGGAGTTAAACGTCGGTGACAGGTGTACAGACTTGTCTCTCTCTTTCTTTTTTTCCTATTGTAGCTACACGCTCGCTGGCGGTCGCGCGATAGGTGTGGCGCTCGATCGGCACAATCGTCTAATCTCTCGGATCTCGGGCCAATCGAACGCGTATTTGTTGTTTCTTTTCCTTTGTTTTTTTTTTTATTTAGTTTTTCGTCTCGCCTATATACCGACGCCGATGACGCCGTGCCGTGTATGTCACCGTGTCACGTGCTGCCGGTCTGCCAGGCGCTATCCGTCTCTCTATCATCTCGCGCACGGCGAAGAAAACGACGTCGAACGCTCGGCGTCGAGAGGTGCTCTGTGGTGGTGGTGGTGGTGGTGGCGGCGGTGGAGGAGGGCTTTCGAGCTTCTATATCGTACACGCATCTATCCCCGTCTTTCTCTTCGTATGCCCCGCTTTCGTCGATGCATATATATCTGTATATACACGCTGTGCTCCGGCTAGACTTGTTTTAGAACCGACAAGTGACATACGTAAGCTTACTGCTACTGCTGCTGCTACTGCTGCTATACTGCTATACTGACACTCTCGTGCATGCGCAAAATTTTTCTCACCGATCGCCATTCTACTTCTCGCTGTTGTTTTTCCGCATTATAGCATACTCGCTTCTCTGGACTAAAAAAAAAAATAAATAAGAATAAGCTGCTGCTGTACTCTTTGGTTCTCGGTTCGGAGCTGATATGTGCGCGTTATTTGTTCGTTTGATTTTCGTTCTTTACGTGGTTTTCCCGACAGCGAATCGCAGCACTGTCGCCGCCGCTGCGAATGTGCGTGTGTGCTCGTCGTCGTCGTCGTCATCGTGAACCAAGCAGCTACCACCAGCTCCGCCAAGCCCATTAATCACAAATGGGCAGGACAAAAGGTCGAAGGGACAAAAAGACCGTATGGACGAGCATCGTAAGTTCAATAACTCGGTCGAACGATCGTCGGTTTTTAACGCGAGAGAATGTAGTTATCGGCGATCGTCTCGCCCACTCGCACACCACTCACACACGCGCTACTCGTGTTTTCTTATCGGTTGACGTAACAGCAGCAGCAGCAGTCTCGAATATATACATAGCATCGGTAGCCACGCGGACGGTTCGCTCTCCGCAGCGGGAGGGGGGGAGGGGAGGCCGCTGAAAAAACGCACGTGTCTCGCATCTCGCGCATACTATACCTCGTATCGTCTCGCGATAATGATTCTTCTTTCGTGCCCCGAGTATCGATGACATTTTGTTATTATTTATCGTCGACGAGCTGTCAAACTTTTCGCGTCGCAAGCTCGCTCGCGCCTGTACGCATTACCGAGGCGGCTCGGAGTTTCAGCTTTACGCGGCCGGTCCGGCGAGTCGCGCGTGTATTTATATATAATTTACCACGAGTGCGCGAGATCTCTCTCTTCCTCTCTCTCTCTCTCTCGGAGAGCTTGGCCTGGCGTAATTTTACTCACACGCGCCGCCGCGTCTGTATAATATATGTACTCGTCGGTGGCGAATTTCGCGAGCGTCGAAAGAGCCGACTGCTCGCTCTCGTACTCTCTTACTCTCTCACACTATCTCTGCGTATGCGCGTGTATTATATATAAATTTGCTGCTCCCCGCGTTACATTGTGTGTATACCTGCACGGGGAGAGCTGCGGTGAGACTTCTCTCTCTCGGACTCGACTCTAATTTGGAAAGAGCCGCTGCTGCCGCTGCTGCTGTTGACCGCTTCGTTTCTCTCTCGCTATCTCTCTCTCTCTTTCTCGCGTGCCTGCTCGGAATGTACCCCTCCGTCGATGAGGCACGAGCACCGGAGCACGTCGTTATCGTACACGGCTGCAGTTTTCGCAACGCACCCCCGTCGCGCGATCGTATATGAGCGAGCGTAAGAGCTTTTTTCTTTCTTTCTCTCTTTCGTTGATTTTTTCCTGCTGTTTTTTTGGAGACGTGGGCGCGAGCTTACGCTTTGTTGCTTCGACATGAAATAAAAAATCATAATCATCAACAAAAACAGGTGATGGACGAAACAAGTACGTACATTACGTGGCCGTCGCGACTCAAGATTGGAGCAAAGTCCAAGAAAGGCAAGACCACCTTTTTTTTATATACAATAAATATAACATACACACTTAACAACTGACACTTGAAAAGGCCTCCCAAATTGTATCACCGATTGATCGATCGATCTTTTGCGCTCCTCCACAGATCCGCACATAAAGATCGCCGGCATGGAGGAAAACATTCGCCTCGCTAAAGAGAAGATCATCCGCGTGCTCGACACCAGGGTATGTATGAAAAACAAAAAAATTTTTTTCAACTCTCGAAGCGACTCGTTCTCATTCGTTGTGTTTTTTTCCTCCCTCCCAAGCAGCAAAACAACCGCGTGACGATGAAGCTGGACGTGAGCTACACCGATCACTCGCACATAATCGGCAAGGGCGGCCTCACCATCAAGAAGGTGATGGAGGACACGAGCTGCCACATCCACTTCCCGGACAGCAATCGCAGCAATCACCAGGAGAAGAGCAATCAGGTGTCGATCGCCGGCGACATCGAGGGCGTGGAGAAGGCCCGGGCGCGCGTGCGCAGCCTCACGCCCCTCATCTTCTCGTTCGAGCTGCCGGTGATGGGCAGCAGCTCGCAGATCGCCGCCTCGAGCAACAACGCCCTCTCCAACTCGCCCTACATCACCAAGCTCCAGCAGAAGTACAACGTGCAGGTGATGTTTCGCACGCGGCCCAAGCTGCACGCGACCCTCGTCGTTGTAAAGGGCTGCGAGTGGGAGGTGCACCAGGTCAAGGAGGCCACCGTCTATCTCATCCACCACATGTGCGAGGGCCTCGCGAGCTCGATCCAGGTGCAGATGTCCATGGAGATATCGCCCCAGCATCACAGCACCGTTCTGGGCAAGCAGAGCCAGAATCTCAAGTCGATCATGCAGAGCACCGGCACGCAGATCATGTTCCCGGACGCGGGCGATCCCAACATACCCTCGCTCAAGAAGAGCAACGTCACCATCACCGGCAACATACACAACGTGTACCAGGCGCGCCAGCAGCTCATGGGCTCGCTGCCCCTCGTGCTCATGTTCGACCTGCCGGAGAAGTCGCTGCAGGCCACCTCCCAGGAGGACCTGCAGAAGCTCATGCAGTCCCTCGACGTATTCGTCAACATGCGCCACAAGCCCAAGCAGTCGACCCTCTCGATCGTCGTCAAGGGCATCGAGCGCAACGCCAGCAACATCTACGAGGCGCGCCGCCAGCTGCTCGGCCTCAACGAGCCCAAGGTCATCGCCGACATACCCGCCACCTACATAGCGCCCAACGCGATGAGCTACCTGGGCCAGGCCGCCGGCATCGGCCTGGCTGCTCCCGGCCTCAACGGCAACAACGGCAACAACGGCTCCAGCCAGCAGGGCCCGACGCCCGGCCCGCAGCTCGGCGGCTTCGTCATCAACGAGACGCTCCCGAGCGGCGCCCTGGGCTCGCCCTCGTCGCAGTACCTGTCGCCGGCCGCGGCCGCCGCCGCCGCCGCAGCTCTGCAGCACGCAGCCGCCGCCAGCGCCTCGCCCGCTCACCAGGCCAGCAGTCTCAATTTCCCCCACTGGACCCTCGCCATGCCCCAGGCGTCCTTCTTCTCCCCCACGCCGCAGTTGACGCCGAATTTCGGCTACCAGCCGCACCTCAGCCATCTGCTGTCGATGCAACAGCAACAGCAGCAGCAACAACAACAGCAGCAACAGCAGCAGCAACAGCAGCAACAACAACAGCAGCAACAGCAGCAACAACACTTGAGAGAAGCGAGCAAGGGATTGATGGGTCTCGGTAATCAGCAGATGCACGCCGCTCTCAACGGCAATCTGCTCAATGCCACGCGAAACAGCTTGTTCACGACCGACAGTAAGGACACCAACTGTGAGAGCATTTTCAATGAAATCACATCTTTTTTTTTTTTACATTTTTACTCTGTTGCGCCCTCGAACTGCCTATTTGAATAACGTCGATTTGATTTTCAGCCTTCTCGTCGTTGAGCAGCAGCGTGTCAAGCTCATTGTCGAGCCCCTCGATCAGCCCGCGCAACGTCTCGCCGATCGATCCCACCTCGGACATGGGCAACAACTTGGATTTCTCGAACGTATTGTCTGAATTAACTCAGCAACACAATAAGCAGCAGCAACAGCAACTGGCCAGCAGTAATCTCCAAACTACAGATGTTAAAAAAACCGATTTGACTGACTTTGCCTCATTGACATTTGATTTTGAGCAGAAGAAGCTCATGGCCATCAAAGCGATGCAAAGCAAACCCGATGTGAACAATTTCCGCATACCGACGTCGGTTTGGTCGGGTTACGGCTTCAGCCAGACGTTGCCGCAAATACCTTCGACGACCAACGATGTCGTGAGTCTCCTGGCGCTGCCAATCCTTCTTCTTTTTTTTTTTCTTCGTTCTCACGCTCGTCGATTGGAGCGACCTTTGCTAATTGTCTCTCTTTTTCTCTCGTTTACGTGTGCAGGACGGCATCAAGCAAACCTCGTCGCTGTGGAAGGACGCGACGACGTCGTCAAATTCGTCGTCGACTCAAGATTACGGCGTCACCTCGACAAAGGACGAGACCGTCTCGAACAAAATAAGTGGCGTAGCGTCGAACTACATCGATAACACGTCGAGCTATCAGCTGAAAAAGATCACGGGCCAGCAGCATACCGATTTAGCCAGTATGCTCACCAGCGTTGGTCTTGAAAAATATATACGTCAGTATACCAATTGACTTTTATTCTTTTTTTTTTTTTTTTCGTCTAAATTATTCTTTATCGGATTTTTTGTTTTTGCAACAGGTCTGTTTCAAGCTCACGAAGTCGATATGGCGACTTTCCCCTCGCTTACAGAAGGAGATCTATGCGAGATAGGTATATCTGCTTGGGGTGCAAGACGAAAAATTATGTTATTAATTTCAGGTAAGGACGGGAAATACTTTTCGACTTTTTTCGATAAAACGATTCATTAATTTATTGATCTTGATTAATCTTGCAGAACTGAATAAGAGGACTAGTAGTCCTTTCTCCGGTAGCGCGGCGCCAGGAGCCGAGCGAAAGATGTCGGGATTGTCATCGTCATCAGGCTCTTCGGTCACTCCGCCTACGCCGATTCGCAAAAGTAGTCTGGAAGGTTCTACTTGGTAAAAACTCGACTTTTGATTTTGAGAAACTGGAGAAAACAGATAGAAAACCCCTCCAAAAAAACACGTATAACACTTTCCGATGACTATATCCTCAACTGCTTTCTTAATGGAACAAACGAAACGAAAAAAGAACGATTGATTGCAGCGCAGAGATTATAAAATAATCGATGCGATATTCATCTCCCTTTACTATGTTTTAACGATGCACATAGTGCTCGTTGATAAAATACTATGCCCCCTCTCGAATAAGACGCTAGTCTAAACAAAAAACAAATTATATGTAATAAGGTGTGTGAGCGATTTACGATTTTTTTTTGTGTAACAATTTTTTTCTCTTTTTCGCTCGCATTAATTCTAAGTAACCACTATATAATACAAGAAGACTGCATTAAGGCGGTGAGTATATATAGTTAGCCAAGTAAGTTGAAAAAAAAATTAAATATTTATATGATGTAAAGTCGAGAGATCAATTCGTCGATTTTGCTTACGAATCATTTATACGTAGAATTAGGCGAATAATTTTGTGTTTGGTGTGATACAAGCTGCTTCCGAAATAGCACCGTATCCACAGATTTACTGTAAAACGAAAATAATTTGATGAAATTGAACTAGAGCTCAACCAAAAAGAAATTAGGGAGATTATTTTCGATATTGAATGCAATGATTCTCGATTCGTCGAGAAACTATTTAATGCAAAATTTATAGGAAAAAATACTAGAAAATAAACTAAGTGAAGATAAAGATGCGGGTGAATGAATGAATCAGTGTGAAAAATCTCTTGCTCTGCGGCGAGAGACAAGCTTTGACTCAAAATCATCGTCATTTAAAAATTAGTACTAAAAGTCAATAATGGAGAGAGATCGAGAGACCAAGAAAGAGAAAGAAAAAAAGAGAGGAAGAGATACAAGGTACGAAAAAAAGAGTATGTATTAAAATATGTATATAGGAGAGAGATATAGAAAGAGATACAGACAAACAGAGTTAATATGAAACACAGGTGTTTTTATGACGTATCGATGATCTAGTTATGTTAAGGCGTCAGCGCTGGCGCGTTTTGTCTGTGATGATGATAAAAAAAATTAGTGATAGATAAAAAATTTATAAAAAACGAAATGAAAAAACCAAATATTACGAACGGTATCTCTTGGTAGATTAAAACATATTTAATGACGAAATCAACGAAAGTGAAGCGTCGAAAGAACAACTGTGTTCCTGTACTACTGTGCCCTCTCGATTATAATATCCATATATATTTTTCTAAGTTAAATGTATATCTAATTTTTTTAACTTTTTTTTTCTTTTTTTTTGCTTACTATTTACTATAACTTCAAGGGAGTTGGTGTAGTTGACCATGAATAATTCAATCCATGAAACGGTATTGTTATTACTGTTTCATAATTATGATCATGATGAAAAACGATATCCTATTGCCTTTCATTTGTGTTTTGAAACGATTCTAATACGATGTGTATAGATAATATATAATATATTTATTTGTGATATTATTCATAATACTTTTTTATGAGGTTTGACGCAGCGCTGCGCAAAAAAAACATACAGAATCTTGTAGAAAATTGTACTTAAATATATAATATAGAAAAAACGCGTCTCACGAATGAGTAATGAATGAATAACGTTCCTTGGCCAAAAGATTAATCATGGCCAGCTACAGGAGCTCGCCTTTCTTTTTTCTAATAATTTTTTTTTTCACTCGGCTGTTTCTCTATACGAAACGTCGTTTCTCGATTGCATTGACCATCGGCATTCATCATTGTTGAAATTTGAAGAAAAAAATAATCTATATCAATTGTTGATACGATGATCTTCGACTTATCTTTTGGGTCAAATCAAATTTTCGTTATCGATGATTAAGCCGGTATGAATTTTTTAAAATAATACAATATATTAATATAATTATGTAGGTGAATATAGTCTAATTATATAGAAACTTTTAACAGGACCCAAGTATGCTCTTTCTCATCTCTCTTCTTTTTTTTTGCGAGTCACTTTTCTCAGTCTCTTTATTTCTCTGGCGCTGTGAATTTATTATAAATAAATATGTAGATCTTTTCATGAAAAATGTACGCGCATTAACACGCTCAGCAAAAATTTATATTTATACATATATATATTTAATATACCGATTGTTATATGAATTTTAAATTTATTTTTTTTTCAAATTTTTTTGCAATCAATTGTAGCATTAGGTATGGCTCAGTGCGGACGATTGTCTCGACGGTATACATTTTTTTCTTTTGAGTGGTTCATGGAAAATTGATCTGAGTGTGAATGGTTAATTGTTTTGTCGAGCATACCTAATGTCTGATTTTACCGCTGAGGGTTGTTGACTAAGCTTGTACAGTTTTAAGCGTTATTGTTGTTGAAGTAAATTGAAATAATTATCAGAGTATGTTTTTTTTCAAATCTAATCATGCGTTAACTATATTGTTATGTAGTATATATCATGAAGTGTTTCAATGTGATTGTGAAGGGACGTACTATGATTATATCTTCTTCTCAATGACTTGTTGTAAATGGTGTGAAAAATTTAAATATGCATTCATGCTTGAATTTAAGCCCCTTAGTTATAAATATATATATATGTGCGTTAAAGGAATTTGAATGAATTGTTATAGAGATGTATACAGTGTCATTTTCCTTCAATTTGCATGCTAGTTGATTATTTATAAGTAATGAAAGAATGAACTTATGAAACGAGATTTGCGTTGTTGTACAAACTATCTTAAAATGTTTGCAATATAAATGCATCCACCTGGGACTAAAGACTGCATAAGAGCCACAATATTATGATACTTAACATTAAATCTAAATTATAATATTCAAGATTTAAAAAGCTCAAGTTAATGACACTATTTGCTCTAAGCAAAGATCATGACAAAAATTCATACATGATCCAAGAATTATTAACAAGTTTCTTTTGTGATTCGATATAACTAAATTACATTATCACGCTTTTCCCTTGGATAACAATTTCTACTTATACGGTGAAGTTAGTTTATCGATCAGGGAAATATTCAAAAACCCGACAAGTAGGCAAATACAATTTGCTGTGTAGAACATTGTGGCTCTTATGCATGTGCATAATGAACAAGCAATATGTAACATGGAGTAAAAGCATTTTACAAGACATAATACCGATATTTTTTAAAGTTATATAAAATTGAATGAGATCATTAATAGCTCTCAAATTTATATTATTGGTTTCATAAAACAAGAAAGAAAGCATTTTTGTAATACTATTTTTAATAAAATTGTGAATTTATACAAATTAAGTATTAAATATTCAAGTGAGTTTTCATTTCGGAATGATACAAAGTTTCTTCACAAATAGGACACTTGTAAGGATCCGACGCGATGAACAGTCCTTCTAAGCAGTAATAACAAAAAACATGGGCGCACCCAGCCCACTTTGGAAATATTGGCACTTGATCGCAATAAGCACAAACTGAATTTTCACTTAATTTACAAGAGAGCACGATGCTCTTTTCCTTTCTTTTACTCGACCATATATTTCTCCAATACTTTTGGATTCTTCTGAAATCGATCATTGGTATGCTAATGGTGAAAAGTTCAATGAGTCCGTGCCAAAGTAATTCTCTGGTCATGTAAGAGTATCCTATAGAACGAGGTTTATTCCTGTTCGATGACCGATTGTATATACCTAAAAACGTCTCAATTATTCTAGGTTGATTACCCGAGCCCAAAAAGCGTAACATCCACAAAAACTTCAACAAGTGCAAGAAATTATCGATTCTCTCGGCGTAATCTTTTATCGCGCTCGTTCGATAGGCAGGCGGCAGTCTTGACGAAATGAAATTTTCATCGACGAGACGCTGCCTCAAGTAAGTCGGCAGAACCAGGGCCAAGAGCCAGAGAATGCTGCTCTTTCGGCCGAGCTCGTCGTACGACAGGCTGAGCAGCTGCTGCCCAAAGGTCGTGCTGTTGGCATTGAGGGAGTAATTCCAGATGAGGCACTTGACGAGCGCGTCGATCTCCGGCTTCCACTCGACGATCTTGCCGGGCGCGAAGTACTTGGTTATCTCGTCGAGCTGGCTGCGCAGGACTTTGTAGATCTCGTGGTCGAGCTGCACCGCGTCGATCTGATTGATCCGCGAAACGAAGGTAGGGTTCGGCATTGCTCATCGAGAACAATCCCGAGATACATTCGAGATCCTATACAGTCGTGGGGCAATAATATTTGCAACGACTCTCATGCTTTGAGGGAGCTTGACAGGTCTGGCGTCTGCTCGATGTTGTTGTAGCGCGATGACAAGCACGATTTAACGTGCTCGGTGCTGCAGTTCTGGAAGCGACGGCTGCGTTTCGCTGGCTGAAACGCCATCTGCCGTGCTGAATTCATAATGCCGATTCTGCCTTACCGATGAATTTTTAAAACTTTAAATGCTTTTTTTTTAATTATTTCGTTCATTTATTCAACATTTTGCAATCAAGCGAAGTGTTTTTTTTATCCAAGAATTGAGAAAAGTGTCAAACTCGCGTAATCGCGTTGAAATTTCAATGTGATCGGCATTTCCGAAACAATTACTCGAAAACGTCGAATCTCTCGCACTTGTCGCGTTCAAAACAAAAGCAGCTAAACGACTGCCCAGCGTTAATATCAACAGCTAATAGACCAACAATGACGTGCTCAAATTTCTCTATAGCTCCTAATATATATTTTGCTCAGCTTCAACGCTTGCGATGTGGAAAAACTTTTTAGCTACCAAATTTATTTTCCAGCCTTACGTTTAACGTCACCATTCATATTTTGAAAGCATATAGTGATAACTTTCATCTCGATGAAGTGACCTGGTAATAAACAAATAAAAAAACCGAAATTCATTCCTTTTAATTTATTTATTTAAATGACTTTGAAAATATAAAACATTTAATTAAAAAATACAGCAAGAAACTCTGTAAAAATGATCACTGTAGTTGTGAGCTAATGCCTGCAGCAGCCAAAAAAATATTATATAAATCCTCGTTCGTCAGATGCTCGTTGATCATGTCACAGCAGAGATTCGGCAGTAGGTAGCCCGACAACTCCATCAGAGCATCCCGTGCCCAGCGACGGAAAAATTTTCTCGACGTTATCTCGCAGAGACGGAGAGCACAAGCCTCTGCGTGCGTTTCAGGGAGATCATTCAATTTTTTTGAACTCACTAACTCGAAGTAATCCCTAGGAGTGAGTTGTTTTTCAGCTTCTTTTGGTTGTAACTGGATCAGGTCGTAGAACGACAGATTCGGCTTCACCATTATCTCTTTTGCTTTGCTCGTGAACTCCTCGTCGTCGCACCAAGGTTTTTCAAGAGCGGACGACTTGTCGAACCACTCGTACTTGGCGAAAAGTTTCATGATGGCCAGGACGCAGCTGTGGTTCAATTCGTATCCTCTCTTCTGAAAACATTCAACGATGCCTAGAGCGCCAGACGCTAGTCTTAATTTCAAAAATTTAGAACCATTCCACCTTCTACTTGAAATACGTTTGTCTATTAAACTCTCGGAGGGAAAAACGAAGCTAGACAAATCAGCACCATTGTTCAAGAGTAAATCAACAACATTCGGTAGAAGACTCGCCACAGCTGATTCCAGTGTTTTTCTATCCTCGTTCTTCGCATCGACGTCCACCAGCTGATTCATTTCTTTAGTGATTTTCAAGAACCTCTCCGCAAAAGCACCATCGTTTAAGGAACTTGAGATTATGAGTTCCATAGAAGTGGGTGAATTTTCGTTTCGCCGACTAGGATCGGCGCCTTCTCTCAGCAGCAATTCGGCCACTTCTCCTCTGTTAAAGTACAAAGCCCTCTGAAGCGGTGAAACACCACGATGGTCTATCATATTGATATCTTGTCCAAGTTCTAGAAATCTTTTGACGGTCTCGATAATGCTAAACTCACAGGCCACATGAAAATGCGTATATCCAACATCGTTGGTGTAATTCATGTCGTATATTTTAAAAAGATCTTGAACCACGCGAACACCATGCCTCAAAAAATCCGCTTTACCAGCATAATGCAATGCTGTATTGCGATGCAACAGTGGCTTACCGTTTTCATCAACTTCGGGCTCGTCCCTGTAACCGGATCTGGCCACAAAGTGGATGAATTCGCCTCCGAAAGTATATTGATAGCCCTCTGATGCTCTATACTCAAGTATATTAAATTTTGATGTTCTACAATAAATTGCAGCATCCAAGAGTAGACGATCAATTTCTTCGGGCCGAAAAATGTCACGGAGATCGGGAATGAGCGCGGTTGCCATATGATCAAAAATCCAAAACTTAAGGGCAAAGAGAAGGTCCATTCGCTCTTGATAGATCTCCCAATTGACATTTTCTCGTAATTTCTTGGATCTTTCTACGAAAATGTTTGGGGATGATTCGACAAGATTGATGAAATCTTGCGTGCTCAACCTATCGTGCGTTACGTTACGAGACATCACACACAATCACTTGTAATTTGATATAATTAAACTTTTGCCGTTTTTTCACGAAAATTACTTTGCACAGTCTATGAATATTTCTCCTATGTTCACGTTGCGACGTCGCAGCCTATACCGACTTTATTCGACCCAAGCGATCTATCCACTGCTAAAAGATTTTATATAATTTGTAGAAAAAGTTAATACAGTCAAAACTATGCATATACTCGAAGATAAATGTATGAATAAAACTTCCGTAATTGAATATTAGTAGTGAAAACAATAGAAGGTATTCTTAAAATGAATCTATATTTAACTCCTGGCGGGGTCCACTCATTTACGGGATGGCGCTTAACGCTGCGTAGCCACCAAGTGGCTATCGTGGAAAGTAAGAGTTCGAAGATGCATTCGAAAAATACTCGTAAATTTAACAAGTGGTCTTTATTCTCATTGAGTTCAATATATTACTCAATTGTGATTTGAATTGAAATTGACATGGCTTTGAACTTTGTTTTGAATATTCAAGCTCTTTTTTAATCTTCGTGTATAAGATAATAAAAAAATTAAGTTTATCATATGAATTTCAAAAAACCTTCACATGAATTATCAATTAATCGTATTGTTTTTGAAATTTATGTACAAATATAAATTAAAAGGGCCTTAAAAATAAGAATATTTTTAACAATATACGCATTCTATATTCTGTGTTCTATGTGGAGAGTAAAAAACACATGGCTAAAGCTATAAGAGATACAAATAGCTTGAGCTGTGCACAGTAACCGCTAGAAAGCGTAAAACCAACGTAGTAGATCGTAATAATATAACCTCTGCGACAGTAATGATTATACCACATGGCTAGGCATACGCAACACCTGGACTTTATATAACTAATATATAATATTGAATTGACACGTTACCCAAATGTATTTTCATCAATATAATTTTTTATGAGGAAGCTCTTTGCCAAGAAATTGTTTAAATAATTTTAGACATCTACTTGGTAATATGTAAATTCGTACTCGGCAGTCAATTTTACTTAATATTAATTATGTATGAACCCAAAGTAAAAATTTTTTCTAGCATTTAGAAGCTGAGGGCTTTATAGTACCTTAGTAAATACCATTTTTATTTTACTATAACGATTTTTATGTGCAACTATTTTTATAGCGAAGCTGCAATTAAGATGTGAATATTCTACTGGTCAAAACCGAGTACCTTAGTTCTGAAAGATGACCCTCATATAATTAGCGTTGCCACGCCGCAGCAAGAACAACTGTTGGAAGTGAGATACCATATATTATCATAAATTATAAGTGATATTGTTTGTGTGTGTGTGTGTGCTGAAAACAATGCCATGATGTTTTCAAACTGTGCAAAGGTTTTTAAGATTACGAGAGAAAGTTAATTGGGAGGTCAAAGATGAGCGAATTGAACTTCTTCGTGAACTTGGCGAGTATATCAGGGAATGGCAAATTCAATCTCTACCAGATGTTGGATACGTTTTTCGGCCCGAAGAAATCGATCTTCTTTTCTCGGATTCCTTAATTCGCCCCGATGGAGTGGAATTCATCGATTTTGTAGTTCGCAAGGGCTACACAGACGAGCCCAAACGGGATGAAGACGGCAAGCCACTGCTGCGTCGCACCACACCACTGCATCGTGTGCTCAGATACAACATCAGCGGAAGGGAGGAGAAAATCCGTCAGCTTTTTAAAATTTATAATAAATTTGACATGAACTACGCCGATGATTCCGGCCTGACGCATTTTCATGTAGCCTGTTTTTTGGGATTTCAAGACATCATCACTGAATTTCTAGAGGTCGGGCAAGATCCCAATTGCATCTGGCAAGAAACAGGTGAATCGGGGTTGCACTTGATTCTGGAAGAAAGCGGTAGCCAAGACCTGGTTGAATTACTGCTGAAACACGATGCTAATCCGAATCATGCCAATTATGTACAGGGTATGACGCCTCTGCATCTTATTTGCTATAAGTACAGCTACAACATTGATTTGTTCAATATGGTATTCGAACTCAGCCACGACAAATATCAGCCAGTACAGGTCGACGCCCAAGACACGTTAGGTAATACACCATTGCACTGTGCTGCATATAGATGCTGCAAAAACATGATAGAATTACTGCTTAGAAAGGACGCGAATCCGAATCTTGCCAATGTAGAGGGTATGACGCCTCTGCATCTTATTCGCGTGAAAAACAACGGTGACGAAGACTCGGTGAATATGTTATTCGAGCTCAGCAACGGAAAATATCAACCAGTACAGGTCGACGTCCAAGACAAGTTAGGTAATACACCATTACACTATGCTGCATATGAATTCTGCGAAAACTTGATGGAATTACTGCTTAGAAAAGACGCGAATCCGAATCTTGCAAATGTAGAGGGTCTGACGCCTCTGCATATTGTTTGCATAGGTAACAGCAACAATATTGATTTAGTCAATATGTTATTTGAGCTCAGCAACGAGAAATATCAACCAGTACAGGTCGACGTCCAAGACAAGTTAGGTAATACACCATTACACTATGCTGCATATGAATTCTGCGAAAACTTGATGGAATTACTGCTTAGAAAAGACGCGAATCCGAATCTTGCAAATGTAGAGGGTCTGACGCCTCTGCATATTGTTTGCATAGGTAACAGCAACAATATTGATTTAGTCAATATGTTATTTGAGCTCAGCAACGAGAAATATCAACCAGTACAGGTCGACGTCCAAGACAAGTTAGGTAATACACCATTACACTATGCTGCATATGAATTCTGCGAAAACTTGATGGAATTACTGCTTAGAAAAGACGCGAATCCGAATCTTGCAAATGTAGAGGGTCTGACGCCTCTGCATATTGTTTGCATAGGTAACAGCAACAATATTGATTTAGTCAATATGTTATTTGAGCTCAGCAACGAGAAATATCAACCAGTACAGGTCGACGTCCAAGACAAGTTAGGTAATACACCATTACACTATGCTGCATATGAATTCTGCGAAAACTTGATGGAATTACTGCTTAGAAAAGACGCGAATCCGAATCTTGCAAATGTAGAGGGTCTGACGCCTCTGCATATTGTTTGCATAGGTAACAGCAACAATATTGATTTAGTCAATATGTTATTTGAGCTCAGCAACGAGAAATATCAACCAGTACAGGTCGACGTCCAAGACAAGTTAGGTAATACACCATTACACTATGCTGCATATGAATTCTGCGAAAACTTGATGGAATTACTGCTTAGAAAAGACGCGAATCCGAATCTTGCAAATGTAGAGGGTCTGACGCCTCTGCATATTGTTTGCATAGGTAACAGCAACAATATTGATTTAGTCAATATGTTATTTGAGCTCAGCAACGAGAAATATCAACCAGTACAGGTCGACGTCCAAGACAAGTTAGGTAATACACCATTACACTATGCTGCATATGAATTCTGCGAAAACTTGATGGAATTACTGCTTAGAAAAGACGCGAATCCGAATCTTGCAAATGTAGAGGGTCTGACGCCTCTGCATATTGTTTGCATAGGTAACAGCAACAATATTGATTTAGTCAATATGTTATTTGAGCTCAGCAACGAGAAATATCAACCAGTACAGGTCGACGTCCAAGACAAGTTAGGTAATACACCATTACACTATGCTGCATATGAATACTGCGAANTATTATGCATCTGGGGTGAATGTGCCCGGCCATGGTCAAATTTTCAAATATTCAAGTTATTTTTAATAAATAGAAATATATGCAAAATTTTGAGGCAATAAAATATTTTTTTGATTTTATAAATGTTACTGTTTCAGAAAAAATTCTTGATACCCTTGAAAATTATTAAATCTTTTTCGTTGCTTAAATTATAATCGACTCGGTCGAAAATTGGTATATTCGATAAAATTATCCATCCAGTTTTCGACTACCTGCATTAAACCTTGATAATTATTATTAAAAAGTTTTTTATTCAATTTGCAAATTGACAATAGGTTCCTCATGCACTTCTATAAACACGTATGTTTATTTATTATGCTATTAGACGTTAGAAATAAAAATTTAACAGAATACCAAACTCACGGTCTTTGACAGCTTAGTGAGGTGATCGAAATATGGACGAGTAGTATTTTTTTTTTGCTTTAATTATATTTTTAAAATATCACCAGCACTTTGGCCAAGTATATGTACTCATTCGAAAGGTTACTTTTTTTCAATCAAACGGTATACTTAGAAAAATTTTTAAACGCCGCACACAAGCTCTGTAAATGAGTAAAGAAACATTTATTCTTAACTGTCCGAAATATGGCGTATTCACCCTAAATAACGATATTTCATAATGTTTCATATTTTCCATTCAACATATTTTTTTCACTTTCGAATAGAAAAATGAAAAATTAATATTGACTTTTTTTATTGACAAGCACAACATTAGAAGATCCCCAATCAATATCAAAGTCATCTATACATAAATTTAAATCATAATTAAGTACATCTTATTAATAGCTACTCATGCTGCACTTTGTCACGTAGCAAGCGAGTTTGATTATCGTATTACAAACGAGTTCGTGGAATTAGGCTGGATTTTTTGAACCTTCTAATCTTATGGAAATTTTTGATGACTCATAATTCATTTTGTTACGTAACTTGTGAGCGTACTTACATTATCTCTCTCTAGCTACGCTCGGGTGAAAACAACTCCTGGACGAGTCAACTTCTTCGCGCACTTGTTACAAAATATACTATTTTCAGATGATTCGAGGTCTAAAATCAGAAAAAAAAACCCGTATTTTTGGAAGGAAATCATCTTTTAAGTTACCTGAAAAGGGATGTAGAAAATTTTTACAGATGATGGTGTACTTATCAATCAAAGAATCAAAAACTTATTTTTTAACGTCTTTTATTTGAATTACTATATTTAAAATATCCACATTTAAAAAGTATTGTCAACAAGCTTATATATCGTGCCAGAGGCATTTCGTCCAAATTCGCCAAACAAACGCGATGCAAGTCTTTGTTCTTCAGATTCTCGAGGAGCCTTTCGCAGGAGAGATCGGAATAGTCGTCGCCTTTCAACTCCAAAAACGCATCCAGTGCCCAGCGCAGAAAAAATCCTCTCGTCAATTTTTCGCACAGACTCAGAAGGCAAGCCTTTCTGGATAGTACGGAGAAATTATACAATCTGTCCGAGTGCGCTAACTCGAAGTAGTCCATATAAGTGAGTCGTTTCTCCAGCTCTTCTTCTCGTAACCGGACAACGTCGCAGAGTGAAAGGTCCGGCTTCAGCATTATTTTTTTCGCATCGACGGCGAACTGCACGTCGTCGTACCAAGATTGTTCCAGATCCACCGACAGGCACATTTTTTCCCTGGTCAATAGTTTCATGATCGTCAAGGCATTGCTCCGGCTCAATTTGTAGCCTCTCCTCTCCAGGCGTTCGACGCAACTGAGAACACCCGAGGCCAGTCTCAATTTCGAATTATCCTCATGCAGCCTGCAGAGCCTTAGTCTCTCGGTGAAGTGAGCGAGCGTAGGAAAAACGAAGCACGACAGGCCGGCGCCTCGATCCAGGAGTATATCCACCAGGTCTGGGAAGATATTCGCCACAACCACTTCCAGGGGCGTTCGCCCCTCCTCGTCGCCATCGTCGAGCTGCAACTTCCGTCCGACGTCGTCGCAGATCTTGAACAACGTCTTGGCCAAACTTTCGTCTTCCTTTCGTAGGCAGAGGTGCAGAGCAGTAAGTCCATCTTGGTTGATTTCGTTGGGATCGGCGCCACGTCTCAACAGATACTCGGCTGCCGTCTCGTTGCCGCGCGAGCGCATTAAAGCCAAGTGCAGCGGCGTGTTGCCTAGCTTGTCTCGTGCATCGACCAGAATCTTCCGATCCAATTCGTCGTTGACTGAAAAGAACTCGTCTATGAAGCTGTATTCGTCGTTGATCTTGCAAATCATATGCAAGGGTGTCCTTCCATCCATGTTAGTCGAGTTCGAATTGGCTCCGGCTCTCAGCAGCGCTGCCACTACCTGTTTGTTGTTCCCCAAGGGAGCCAAATGCAGCGGTCCATCTCCCGTGCCTGGTACGAGGCAATCGGGATCTTGATCGGCCTCGAGGAACTTGACGACGACGTCGGCCTGTCCACTCTCGCAGGCTATGTGGAAATGCGTGTATCCAAACTCGTCGGTGTAGTTGACGTCGAAACGATCGTAAATCTTAAACAGCTCACGGATCACGATATTTCTGTTGACGAACAAGTGTCTGGCGGCCTGATGTATCGCTGTGGTTCGATGCTGGAGCGGCTCCCCGTCTATACCGAGTCCGAGCTGGTCCCTGTAGCCGCTTCGAGCCACGAACTCGATGATTATCTGGCCGGGATAGTTGTACTCGCGGCCGCTGGTGAAATTGACGCACTCCACGAGAAGACGCTCGATTTCTTGGGCCTGGAGGATGCCGCGGAGATGCGGAAGCGGCCCGTCCCAATCGCTGATTAACGAGTACAGTTGCTGGACGTCGTATCGCTCCTTCTTCAAGCGGCGGATCCAGTTGGGTTTTTTCAGCAACAAACTCTTCAAACTCTCGAATTGTTCTCGTTGGAAATCCGCCGCTGCTGCTTCAGGCTCGAAATCGTTCACGACAAACTCGCTGCTTCCGCTCTCGTAGTAGAACATCTCGTGGGATTCGTAGTCGGACTCGAACGTCATTTTGTCGCTATCAAAATTGTTGTACACTTTATTTCACTGAAATCACTTGCTGCAATCTAGGCGGTCTCGCTGAGTTGTTCACACGTCGGTGGCTGTACGGGGTACTGACTCCAGATCTGCATTCGCATGCACCGAGATGCTTTGGGGAACGGGATCGTCTAGACGCCCTCTAGCGGAACACTTACTACGAGGATGCGCAGACAACAGTAATGTGTACTTTACTTGGAAATGCGCATTCGTAAGTGGCAATGGTTGACTAAGCACCGCCCAGAGTGGATTTCCCAAAAGAGAAATTTATGAGAAGGTGGAGAGAGAAAGTAACGAACGAATCCACGAGATGTGCGAACATGTGTTGGGTTAGTTACTCCTTACGTACTTGAATTTTTTCAGTTTCACTGTGGTCTGTAACGTACGCGGCTTATGGTTAAGCATGTATTTGAGAGAAAGTAGATTCGATTTTTCGAACTAGTCAGCCTCCAACACGTGCGTTGCGCAGTGAGAATACGATACTGCGCTTTGGCTTTTGGGCTCGAGTACGCTTACCCCCTCCCTTGCTTCGGCCGCTCACTGTAAGGAGAAATAGGCTGCAAGTGTATGGAAACGTAATATATTCGTCCAGTTTATAGGTAGCACAGCTAATATCTCGACATTATTGTCTGAGACAAGGTCCAGTACGAATCGTAATATTAACACCGCTTAGAGTCGACAGTTTAATAGTGATCATTGCGCTACCGATAAAATCGTTAGTCGAAGAAACGCGAATCAATCACCGAGTTATTGTATAATCAGTTAAACCTACGATCTTATTAGCTTTTTTTTTGGCAAAATGCAGTACCAGCACCAGCAGCACGAAATAGCAGATTTTAATGTTTTAAAAAAAAAGCTTGATGACATTTTTGAAAAAAAAACGCATTCCTGTGAAAAGCCGAAAAAAGTTTTGAAAAAAGTTAGCTTTTCTCAAGAGCAACCACAAATAAAATATGTTTTCAATTCCGAGAATGAATCTAGTGTTGAATCTGAAAGTCAGGAACAGTTGCAAAGGCAAATGCAGGAGTTGCAGCTGCAGCATATCAATCAGAGACAACACCAGCAACGGCAACAATTGCAAAGTCTACATCAACTTGACCTTCTACATTTGGAGTCGTTCCCTACGAAAAATGAACGACTTAAATCACAAAGTGTGGAGGTATTGCAGGTAAGAATGCAGAAACTACAGCTGAAACAAATGATGCAAAAACAAAGCCAGTGCACACGAGAATTACAGAGCCAACATCAACTCGTGCTTTCACAATTAAATTTTTTAACTTCACTTGTGCAAAATAATCAATAATGAATCAAATATTGTATTAAATTGTATGTGAAGGTGGTCAAACTTGACATCACGCTTAGCTTTAATTTTCGTCGTTGGCTTGGCCAATGGTCCATCGAACAACACGAAACCACATAGAACCAATGGAAATTCTCCGAATAAAAACCTTTGAAAATTGGCACATAAATCTCGCCACAATTATCGACGTGCTAGCTAAGAATAGTATGAGCCAGGTAGTACCTGCAGCTGCTCCGAGTGATTATACGAATGAATGCTGGGCCATTTCTATAAACGGAATGTGCCCTTGAATGTGCAAAATTACTCGAGAGCTCCTGCTACATCCCTCATCCATCAACTAAGCTCTTGATATAAATTAGCGGGGACGGATTTTGATTGCGGCGAAGATTTTTGTACAGTTTCCAAAAGTTTTTTTCAAACGAATGAGAGCCGATGAGTTTCCGTTAAAAGTGTATTCATGCAAATAGAAGAAACAAATTTTAAAAATAAAAAATGTATGATAAATAACACAAAAACATGTCATGAAATTATTTATCAACCTTCCCGTTTTTTCACATAAACAAAATTAAACATGGTTAAATATGCTTAATCAGTATGAAATTATAACCATTGAATAATAATAATCGAACCACACGGATACACGAGTCAAGGTAAGAGTAAGTAAGTATATAAGAAACACATACTGGCCACGATTACAAAAAAAACTCTCCGAGGCGGGCCGAAATGTAACGGTGCCGTCGTGGGTGCAGTTGCACCATCATTACACACCCGAAAAAGGGGTGTATACACCAGCAACAGCAGCAGCAGCAGCAGCAGCAGCAAGGGTGGTGGAGCTCGTGAGTGCGCTCACGCAATATCTCAATGCTCTGAGTCTCTCTCTCTCTCTTTCTCAGTCATTCCGAAAGAAAGCAAGAGAGTCCTTCGGGCTGCCACGTGTGCGATGGTAGTGTGCGATGTATGCAAAGTGTAAGATGGTGCGATAGCGTCTTTATCAAAGTTAGTCTTGTTTTTATAGTTGGTATTCATTGCGAAGTTGATAAGAGATTCTGATCATGTCTCGGTA